GATTTGAACCATATGGCTGCCACAGCCACTTCCAGTCTGAATTGTTTGATGGTTCTCTTACTATCCCCAACAAAACAACAAAACAAAACCAACAATAAAGAACAAACTGAAACACTGAATTTCAGTTCTGGACGATGCAGAAAACTCAACTGCATTTTCTAGACCAAATGAAACCAAACAGAATAATAGGACAAGGCTTCTCCTAATATTTAGGACGACAGATTCACTTTGTATCCTAACAGGCTCTCTTTTACTTAAGATGCTTGCATCCAAGTCTGCCTGGTTATATAACACTTTAGTTAAAAGAGAAAAACAAAACAAAAACTTGCCAAGCTGACATATGTCTAGAAATGAAATTCTCAAAAAACAGTCTGAGAAGATTTCAAAAATTGTTTTGAAGAAAATAAATATACTAACAAGTCTAATTCACATCCTTTTTAAATTTAAACTGGCAATTATTTGTGCAAAAGCCAACATTGTACAAACAACAAATAAATCAGAGACTGAACAGATTTCACATCTGCAATGTTGCCACTGGATTCATCATATCTAGGCAGCTGTCATTCATAAATCAGCAAATGCTTCACTGTATAGGTGAAGCTGTGATGTGTAAGCTAACACATCACTAGCTACAACTGGTTTCAAGGCAATTTGAACCAGCAATGGAAGTATCACTGATAAATACTAAATACTGCAGTTTATCAAGAGATCAAAGCTTACAGCTACAGCAATTTATTTTGTTGGTTCAGATTTAGCTTTTCATTGCTTTACATGGTGTTCAGTGTATCAGGCTGGACATCACTAGTCTAGGTGTTGTGCAAGAGATAAAAAGAATTACAGATTCCATAAAAACAACCAAGTCATACAAGCAATTGCAGCGCAAAGCATAAAACAAGTAATCCTCTGTAACGAAAGCAAGAGCTATGTCCCACAATCAGAAGTTAATTCTTTGGTAATGAAAGCAATTATGAAACTCTGGTAATAATTCTTTGTATATTAAAAAAAGATCAGAGCATTATCATAGAGGAAAAAAAACTCTGAAGCTCATCACAATAGCTGTGGAGCTATTTAAACTTCTCTTAAGAGCTATGTCCTTTTAGAAAGTTTACAAACAAGTATTCAGGTAATTCAAGTATCAGGTATCTGCTAGCAGGAGCACTTAGTAAGATATCCTTAATTAATGTGTTTATCTAACAAATGTACTGATATAATTAATAAAAGAAGCAGAGACCCACAAGAGCTGCTGTCTGCATGCCAATAAAGTTTTGTTTAAAGACAAAAACAAAATACAGTGCTCAAATCTGCAGCTGCTGTACTTAACAGACAAAAATTTGGGGACTGGGTTCCCAATTTCCTTCATGTTTTTGCTGGCTTTGGGGGGGAGGTTGTTGTTTTGGGTTTTTTTTAATTAAAGGACTGATATTTTACAGCATACTCATATTTCTCAAAGCAGCACAACACAGCATCCATTTTGAAACAGCTTCAGATTGAACTAGAGGACGCCTAGAAAAGAAAACCAAAACCATAAAACCACACACTATACCACAGCTCCATTTTTCATTAAGTACAAGAGCAAGAATTTCTGTCTGGTGGGTAATTCTTCTTTAATACAAATCAGAATTAAAATCTTTAAAGCAGGTTCAACAATGGTTGGCAGCACAGACTCAGGCAACCACAGCTCTTATTTTGCCTTTCCTTACTCCCTTAGTAAAATCAACATGGACAACACCTATTTTGCCCTACACTAGGGCTTGTGAGAACTGGTATTAGAAAAGGTAAGTTCCAGTTCCTGGGTATCACTGCTGTGTTATTCACAGCTCAGAACTGTTAGGTACCATCATTTATTTTACCCATGCAAAATTAAAGATGATGGTTACAATGCTTCATTTTTAAACACTTTTTTATGCAACCCTCTCACCTTTTTATAAATGCCATCTAGTAAAGAATTTCAAAGGGCTCTGCTTCTTTAATGAGGCATTAAAATACAGTCACACGACAAAAAAGCAACTCAACTAAGTCTCTTAAACCCCTGGACTTACATTATCAGCTTTTATGTGCCTGTCAACACTCAACAGTAAGAAGCAATGGTTTGCTCTTTGCCTCGAATTTAAACTTTCCTGCTGAGAGCTTTAACTCCTTACAAACTGTCAAAGCTTTGACACTTCAGCAGAAAGTAAATCTACAACATGATGCAATGGCCAGGTGTAGTCTCAACCAGCCACTAGCCACTAATTTACTAGTGGCCATTTAATTCACCTCAAAAAGCAATAAACTAGAAATACTTCCCACCCTCCATGTACCCACACTGCTTGCACATCAGCCCTTTTAAATAGGTAATAGTTCTGTCAAAGAACCAGGTACAGTTAACTTGCCACTTTAAAGAAATGAAACATTTAAAATTGTAGAGATGTCAACATACGACTAAAATGCAAATTTATTTCCAATCCAAAAGCTAAAGTAACAGTGCTGCATTTTTCAAGAGAAGTAAGTGCAAAGTGTTAAATTGGAACTTCTTTATCCAGAATACTTCTCTGAGTATCTACAGCCTGGATCTCACCTTCAGTGCAAAAGTTCATTGGCATAAAGCTCATTATTAATTCCTTTAACAAAGATGCCAAGCCAAGTGCACCTGTGAAAGAGTAAGAGTTGGACGGATTTCCATGGTCAAAAATGTGAAATTCACTGCTGGGAACTATTCTGCTTGGTATAAGCTAAAATATTTATATCATTATTTTAGTATACAGAAAAAAAAAATGACTGCACAGATAAGCCATGCTGTTTCTTTACAACAATAAAATGAGACAGAGACTTAAAATGAGAGCCTTGAGATACTACACCTAACAGCAGTATACTGAAAAATTATCCTTTCCCTATTCTTCTGCTCCTTTCACACTGTAATTCCACAGTATACAAAACTCCTATTTAAGTCTCCTAACCTTGATAAGGACTTGATACCACCCTCATTCAAGTGAATGGAAAAAGATCTCATAATTAGCCTCAAAGATGCGTGACTAAGTTACAAGATAGCATTTTAACAATGCATTTATGAAAATATTAGTGTTTTTTTAATAATAGCAGGAAAATAAAGCTCTTTTTTTCTCCTCATGATATAAAATAAGAAACTAGCCTTGTCTAAAGGTCAACCATTTCTGTTGAGAATGCACAACACTGAGACAGCTCTTCCATTCTCCCCAGTCCAGGCAGTTACTGGGGTGGTAGCCACAAGGTACTACACAGAAGTTACAAATACATCTATGGTTTCAAAAGGGGAGATGAAGGAATTAAACAAAAGCTATCTGAGGTTCTGCCAATGTTGGCATATCTCCTCTTTCAAATACCTTAAATACAGTCTGGCATGGGATTTTCTCTCATCACTAGAAGGACTTCAATGGACTTCAAATGCCGAACAAATCCTTTGACTCACTGTGTCAAACCCCAAGAGAAGCATTTGACAGCAGGAAAAATAGGAACAAGAATGCCAAGAGTTAAAAAGTTAAGTTGAACTGATTCAGCATTCAGATCAAACAAGTACAGTTCTTCCTAGATTATTAATGAGTGCTGCAAGCAACCAGGGGCTCTGACGCAGACAAGAAACTGCACATCACAGGCATTCCAGGAACTCTGGTCTGCCCTCACTGGAACAAAACCCTGGTAAAATATGCATTCCCTCCTGTTTTAAAAGCATGGCACCTCTCACTGCTTCTCTGTCCATATACATACAATAAAAATGTTAGGCACAAAGTACTTCCTTCATCAAGGTTATGATCTGCAGAATTTTTTTCTGAGAATCCTCTAGCATCTCTAGTAACTTCTGAAATACTGCAAACAAAAACCACATCTTTCACACCCTCAACACACTACCAAAATAATAAAAAACAAAAGAAACACAAGAAGAGACAGCAAGTCTTCTCACCAGCCGCAGCTTCAAATACATATTTTTTGAGAAGGCAGGAAGAATACAATGATGTTTCAAGCAATGGTTACACAATCTTGTTAGTTCAAATGGAAAGAGAAGGGCTTTTTTAGCTGAGCATAAGACATGTCTGGGAAATATGAGTAAAACACAATGGATGTGTGAAACATATATTTCAGAAAGACAAAAGAGCCAATATTATCAAACTTCCCATTTACTTAGAACTGTTTAACAACCAAAGAATAAAACTTGATATACAGGAATAACCATGTCCAAATGTAGCAGATTAGAAACAGCAATTTTAGTGTAGGTACTCAGCAAAAAAATTCCCCATACTTTTTCAAGTGCAAGCTCAATATCATAAATTAGTCCAAAGGGCTAAAATCCAAATCCTTCTTTCAGACTGAATGGCCCTTATCATTAGGCAGGTCGGAGATAATCCTGCAGATATCAAAAGCTATCTCTAGGATATCTAGAAAGAAACAGTCCTCTTAATCAAGTTTTAAACTGGCCTGAGTGTATCTCATTATCAGGGCAAGCATCACACTCCCAATGCACAGCTGAACTTTACAGGGGGAGGGAACAGCAGAGGGCATGTAATAATGAATTAAATACTGTAAAATCTCACAGAATACAGTTTTAAGCCTTAGAAGTCAGCCAGCTTGAAATATAGCCAATTTCAACAAAAAATAATTCAGGGTAATGATTTCAAACTCAACATTCACCCAGGTCTTCTGGCAACTTCCTTGCAGTTTTATAATAATTTCCTATGGTCACCTATCACTGCTGGTCTGGACCTGCACAAGTATGCTGGTATGGACCTGCACAAGTTGGGGAAGAGAAAAAGAGAAGTGACCAGTCCTCCAGAGAAAATGATGATGATGATGATGATGATGACGATGACCTTGGCTTCATACTTTGCACACATAAATGATTAAAAAAGTGCAGGCATAAAGTCGCTTGGAATTGTTGTTGGCATTGTAGTTCTGCTACCAACCACTGTCTCCCTACAGTAACAGGAGGTGAAACAGAGTTTGGCATAGGTACGGATTTTTACATCAAGAATGCACATTTAAGAATGCCTTACCAAAAGTAACTTCTCCTTTGCCAGTCTTGTCAAACAGCTGAAAGGCTACTATGAACAATGCGTCTGGAGCACACAGGACTGATTCAAATGCCACAAACTCTTGAAAGGATATCAACCTAAAGGACGAAGGAAAAAAAATAGCTATGAAACCAACTTGCTCACAAAAAACTGAAATACAATACAATATTGATTATACAAAATAAATAAGACCACAATGAAAATATGTTCAAAATGTATTCAGTAGGGATTAAAATTTATCCTAAAATGCCCTATCCCCAGTGCTGTCAGGAAGCCTTTATATCACTAAACGGAAATGTCTGTTGAACAAAGCATTATTCCTCTCGGCAAGTCACAACACAACATAAAATAAGCAAAACACTCAGCATGGCTACTCACCTCAGCTTTAATGTCTAACTGAACTGCCCTCTGGGGAAGCCTACCTCCCTCCACTGGCAAGACAGGGCCAATAAAGACATGAGTAACTTCCCTCAAGACTCAGTACTTAGCACTTTTGGAAAGCAAATCCATTCAAGACCTACATGCTGCCACTCACTTCAGAAGGAACCGATCAGAATGCCTTATCTGCTTGCTTGCAACTTATTAGTCATCCATCACAGCCCTCCAGTCCTGCATGTTGAGTCACAAATTTCAATCAGTAGTCTGCATGTTCTTCCTCAGCCCAAGAGCAGTTTATTCAAATTCTTCATTACAGCCCGGTTCCTAATGTGCTAGCACAGTAGTAGGGCATAGATAAAAGCAGAGTTGTCCTTCCAGAAGTTAGTTCATAAGCAGAAATACATAATTAGACAACATGGCATTGTTTCCAGCAGTAGGTTTGGTAACAGCAAAGACCTTGAACATTCTAATTTCTCAGCATCACACCCAAGAGTTCAAATGGAGATCAAACTCCTATTCTTAAAGAGGCAAAGACCAACTACTCTTCTTTCTCCTGCTTCTTTAATGTCTAGGCTGTAGAGTTTAAAATCATCTTCAAATATGTAGTGGCAGGGCCTGCTAGCAGTCTGGGATAGTTAAGATTGCTGTCTCTCAGGCTGCTTTATGTCAGTGTAGCAGGCACGTAGCTTTAATGGGTTCATGTGGCAGCAGCTGGGGAACAAGGATTATTTCTGAAAAGCGCAAAATTCAGTGTACACACAAACCCAGGGAATTTTTAATGGAAATTAACTAGATCCTTAGGACTTGGATCCAAAGTGACACTGCAGCCAGTTCAATGAATGTATGCAATAACAGTGAAGAACTAACAGTTTGAATAAGTTGGAAAAGATATTTTTTTCCAGCAAGTTATGATTACCCATGACTATACAGCAATATCCAGTCACCTGTTTTACGGGAATTCAGAGATTATGCTGAGTTGGAAGGGACCCATCAGGATCATGGAGTCCACCTCCTGGCAGGACCATCCCCAAGAGTCACACCATGTACCTGAGAGGATTGTCCTTCCTGAACTCAGGCAGACTTGGTGCTGTGACTACTTCCCTGGGAAGCCTGTCCAGTACCCAACCACACTCTGACTGAAAAACCTTTTCTTGATATCTAATCTAAACCTCCTTGAACTCAGTCTCATGCTGTTTGCTTGAATTCTGACACTGGTCACGAGAGTGAAGAGTTTAGTACTTGCCCCTCCTCTTCCCTTGTGAGGAAGTTGAAATCACAATGAGGTCTCTCCTCAGTCTCCTCCAGACTGAACAGACCAAGTGACCTCAGCCACATCTGATATGGCTTCCTCTCAAGGCCCTTCATTATCTTTGCTGCCCTCCTTTGGGCAGTCTCTAGCAGCTTAATGTCTTTTTTATATTGCAGTACCCAAAGCTGCACACATTATTCAAGGTGAGGTCACCCCAGCTCAGAGCAGAGCGGGACAATCCCCTCCCTTGCCTGCCTGGTGATGCTGTGCCTGATGCCCCCCCGGACACAGGTGGCTCTCCTGGCTGCCAGGGCACTGCTGAATCATATTTAACTTTCTGTCCACCAGGACTCCCAGGTCCCTTTCACAGTGCTGCTTTCCAGCCTCTCATTCCCCAGTCTCCTTATATCCAGGGTTGTTCCACCCCAGGTGCAGAATCTGGCACTTTCCCTTGTTAAACACTTGGTGAATGCCTATCTCCCTAATTTGCTGAGGTGTCTCTGCAGGGTCTCTCTGCCCTTGAGGATGTCAGCAGCTGGCAAACTTACTTAGTACTCCTATGAGTCCTGCATCAAGGTCACTTATGAAGATGTTGAAGAGCACAAGACTGAAGACGGAGCCTGCAGAGCTCTGCTAGTGACAGGTTGCCAGCCTGATGTCACCTCATTCACTGTAACCCTTTGTGCCTGACCTGTAAACCAGTCACTCACCCATCATATAACTGGGCCATTCAGCTGTGTGCTGGACATTTTGTCCAGAAGGACACTACGACAGTACCATAAGCTTTGCTGAAGTCTTAAAAGATTGCATCTACTGTCTTTCCTAGATCAACACTTGAAATGTGCTTGCTGCACATCAGCAGCCAAACATTCACAGAGTAACAAGCCAATTTCCATGAGGAACATGTTCTCATGAGAAGATTGAGAAGAATAATAAAAGAAGACATTTCTTTTAAAGAAGCACAGCACAGAGAAGGCCTAAACGCTGTTCTACACTACCTCTCTCAATATACCTGCAACAAACAAAAATAAAAGAAATGTAGAGTATGAAATGGCCTAACAAATAATTAACTCTGAGAGCTTGTCACCATAAATCATAACATAGTGCAAAAAGTAAATAAAAAGAAAACTCCTCAGGTATTCTTAAGATTAAACTCAAAATTAAGGATGTCAGCAAACATATAGGAATGCCTTAAGCTTTACTGGCAAAGAAATCTGTGCCTTGTTACATATCACACGTTAGCACACGAGCAATCCATCAGTCCTTTAAATGCCTTGGGAGCTCTCAGTACTCCCCACTGTTAGACACAGACTACATAGGCTTTCAAAGGAAGAAAACTTCCATCCCTTCTAAGACAAAAGAAATTTTTTCCGGAAGTAACATTTCATTTAATTTTAAACCAATATATCATAACCTACTCAGTTTTGTATTGATGAATATTTACTGTTACAATGTGACTTACCAGCTATAAAAAGCTATTCTTATTTATTATTATTGGCTACATACCTGACAGAACAGTAAACAGATCCAAAGAGTACTCCACTGAGTTCTGTTCCAAAGATTACAATACATGCACACATTAAAAAACAAAAAGAACAGCAGGTGACAAGACTCTAGAATAGGATTGTTTGGAATTATAAATGTAAAATCTCTGTCAACACCATTTTGGTAAAGCTGCTTTTTTGTGTGAAACAACCTGCACGTGTCCTTACCAACAGTTCACAATACAGTGATTACAGCACAGAAAAGAAATACAGCACCTATCCCAGCAGAATCCCAGCACCATGTTAAGAACATATGCTATGTTACTAGGCCTGGGTTTGATTAAAACTCCATGTATTAACACTGCTACTAGATTTTATACTAGTAGAAGCATGTTTTTTTAGTACTTGGAAGCAATAACCCCCCTAATAAGTCACAGATAAATGCTTAGAAAAACCCTATATCCATTTTTTAAAACAATTATTCATAGAACTAGGAAGATTTAAAGTGTGCAAATTGTGTATTTCTAGCGAGACTGTTAAAGAAGAGACATTAATATCTGCTGTGCCAGCTGAATTCAAATTAACCCAATTTTTACATGTTAATTAAACCAGCTATTTTCTTCTTATTGTATTTTTGCTCCCTAAGTAGACTAGCCTGCTAGTGATTCCCAACAGATCCATTCTAACGACGACGTATTCATTTACTTCTATTATGACCATACAATACAGTAACTGAGCAGTAATTTTTCAGTCAATTACACGTGTGATTCTTAATGCTTAAAGAAGCTGAAAAAAATGTGTACTACATAGCCATATGCTCACTTCTCTATACTGCACAAGGGTAGTTGCCTGGGTAACATGTTTTCTCTCTGGTTTAGCATCACCCTTTTGGGTTTAGCATAACCCTCCAGTGAATATCATTAGGTGTCATTAAACAGCACATGTTAACGTGGACTTCAATATACTACTTAAGAGTTATTTCATATACCTAAACAAGTAGTCATTTACGTTACAAAAGCAGAGAAAAACCTAGTGATTTTAACAGCACAACGAAATGAAGCTGAAATGTTTACGAAATTTTATTTCAGTTTTGAAGATATTCCACCCAAGTAAGTCAAAGTCTTCCTTCACCTTCACATCCTCATTACCAGTGCCAATACTGTACAGTTTATTCAGGAGGGTTCAAACCCTGATATTTTAAAAGCATCCACAAAGAAGAGCACCATTCTAAATGTAACAACAGAGTATGGTGCAGCAAAACCACTATTTCTACTCTCTCCTGTCTTCCAGGCTCACACCCATGGTATTTGGATACTCCATAGACACAACACATTCCCACCAGAGAAAGTCTGCATGTAGCCACGCAAAGAAAAAACCCACCTGCGTTTTATTACCTGCTGTAATAATACATACAAATGCAATGATGAAGAGGTTTTCTTCAGAAATCAATGCAGATGTTTTTACTGTATCAGCAATTTAAACATGGTAACATAATGGGACACAAATTGAAGCTACATATATTATTTTACACTGCAAGCTAGGTAAACTAAGTATAGTGTAAATTGGTGCATTAGAGGATAAATTTATATCCAATAATAATGGAAAATGCTGGCATTTCTAAGTATTATTTTTGAATACTTTGTCCTTTCTAAAAATAAAGCATATGGTATTTCTTAGTAAAGTGTTAGTTACTACAGTCCAAACAGAGACATGCAGTAAATACTTATTTTGGTAGGCAGATGTTTAAAAGTACAACAAAAATCTAAAAAATTATATTACACTAGGCAGGATGGAAAATACCTGGCCTATTGCTGATAGGCCTTTAGAAAGCTACTGCATTTTGGGGAAATTTCTGATCCAACTGAGGCCAAATGAAGCCTTCTTTTTTGTTTTTTGGGTTTTCTTTTTTAAACTAAGGTTAGGAGTGAGAGGCTTAAGCCAGGCTCCTCAATCTGTTTCATACGAACAACAACCACCCAATATAACACTTATTAAAATCTATGTTATTACCAGTTGACTACTTTGAAAGGTTTCTCTGGCAAGGAAAGTATTTCCTTTTCTTAGAGGAAATACTTAAAAACCCTTAAAAACATGCCTCCATATGAGAACAGCAGAAAAGCCCACCATCAAATAAACTCTGCCCTGGCTTAAGATGGAGGCAAAACCTGCTCCCATGGCAACGGATATTCATTGAACAACAGAGTATGCCTTAAGAGGTCTCGTACCTTTGTCACAACAGCAGCTCATGTAGACCCTCAAATCCTCAATCTCTGGCAATGCAGGAACTGGGCTAGACTTACATGAGATTTTGTCTATAGTAACCACTGTGAGACTGTATGTAAGAGCTATGGTTCTTTTCATTTCACACTCAGAACTTCTTCAGCCCTTGGGTAAGAAAATCTTTGCCCATCTAAACGCCCTGCCAGTGAGTCTGAAGTCCTTGTGCTGTCTGCCTTTTACCTGTGTACTTACCCAGTCAAGTACTTCACACTGATTACACTTGGTACGTATACCTAACTTGTGACCAAAACCAGAAAAAATTAAAAAGCATTCTAAAGAGTGCTAGCAACAGCCCTGGTGGAGGCTCAGACCCTTTCAGTGACAACTGGTCATGCTCAACAGTCATGAACAACAGCTGCTTCTTCAGCGCAAAAGAGGGATCCAAGACAGTGGATAAATGTTTCTGGAAATAGCCTAGCAGTATTTTCAGAAATGCACTACTTTAAGTCACTAACACTGTAACAAAATTAACTTGTCACTGCTCTTGCAAACTAGCTTCTATTTTATAATAGAAATAATGCTAAATTACTGAACAGATTCTCATGACCTTAACCGTGTGTAAGCCCCTAAACACTGACAAGCCTATTAAAAATGAACACCAACAAAAGCTGGTTTGTGCTTCACTGTAGAACTAGGAGCTCTGGACTGCCAAGTTGGCAACATACAGTAGGAGAAGACCAATAGTCCCGTTGCTGTCTTGAGGAGATTTCATTACAGGAACCAAAAAGCAGCTGACTCTTGCCTCAGATGATTACTCTGCAAATTACTTTAAACACCAGGAGAACAAGGTACAAACACTGAGCAACATGGCAAAAAATGCTGCAATGTCATGTTAGGGAGATGGATGCTAATCACTTTCCAAACTTTCTCCATTCTTTCACATATTAGCTAAACAGGAAGACAGCCTGAATACCAGAAGAGACTCTCCAAAGACACGTTACGAACTGTCACTGCACAGTGTGGATTACAGAAACAATCCTTACCCACGGCAGAAAGCAGCAATTAGAAGCCTCAATACTACACCGCAAAACTCTTACAAGATCATGCCAAGTTACGAAATTCCAACTTGTCAACAAGTTCACATAGGCTACAGTTTTACATTTTGTTCTTCCTGACACCAGCTTCTGTGAGGGAGATCCAAATCACAAGGTATGGATTATGTTCTCAATCTTCTTATTAAAAACGGATTTGAAGCCATGTAATTTGGAAAATGCTGTTTTTGCAGGCATCAAACCGAGGGAAGAAATCTGAGAAATGCTTAACATTTTCAGTCAAACACTGTCTGAAGCCACGGCTTTCTTGATGCTATCAACGTTACCAACACAACCTTTTACAGAATTCTTTTACTGGGGTAGTAATCATCACATTAACTCATCTGCAAGGTTTAAGGTGCCCAGCTGCCAAATACATGAGACTGGCTGAGCAGAAAAGAGAGCACAGAAAGGACTGCAAAACTTCTCAGTTATGCCTGCATCGGTTCCCTAGGAAGACTGCATGACTTCTCTAGTCATGCTTTGTTTATCTCACATTTTACTCTCTGCAACCACTGATATGAGTCATGCCTGAAGTTTTCTGGTTTCTAAAAATGCCACAACTACACACTTTAAGTCCATAGCTAATTATTCAAGTTTCTCTAAAGATACTTTAAAGGGAGGGTTCAACAACTCATATGGGTGAAGAGACAGCTTGCCTGGGCAAGTACCAAAAGCAAATGCTAGGATTTCATTAAAGTAGGGGGAAGGAAGATGGAAGGGTAGCTAATCTTGCCTATTGGCAAAGTCGGCCTTTCAAATGCAAACCATGCGCAACCAACTTCACTGCTGTCTTCCCAAGATTGCAGAGTAGCTCCCTAAATACCTTAGGCACTCCTCCTCCCTCTTGAAGGAAAAACACAGCGGCAAAAACCTTTAACAGTGCCATGGCAAAACAAAGCAGGGGCACTTTTTTCTGGGATCTCTTCCTACACCATCTAAACTTATTTTGGATTTCTATTTGAATGTGTTTATGACAGATACATAAAGTAAACAGAGACAGAAAGACTCAGAGAAGGAAAGAAAAGCAGGAGCTAGGGGAGCCAGCCAACAAACATGAAAGGTTCCATGAATTAAAAATACATAGTAGACAGAAAATTGTTTGCACCACTAAATGGTGAGTGCAGTTGAAAACAAATGTTTCTACTCTTTTCACTTAAAATATACTGTATTTCTTTATGGATCTGCAGGGGAAAACAGAACAACCCACCTTCAAGGATCAGACTGTTTGAAAAAATGATTTTGTATTTTTAAAATGAACAACAGAAAAAGAAAAAAAAACCCCAATCAATTACAAATTTCCCCTACCCCCAAGCCAAAACCAAAACCACTTACCCATCTTTTGTCTGATCCACCACACCTGCAAGGAGCTGTACAGTGCTTGCATTAGGCAAACCATCTCCAATTATCTTCAAGTACCGTGTGACAAAGTCATTAGGAGACATGTAGAATTCTCCATTCTTCTCCACACTTGCATACTGTTAAGTGAATACAATATTTAGTGCTTCAACACATCCTTCTCCAGGCATTTAATACCATCACCCACAGTTTCCAATCACAAGCAAGCCTCTGTTATAGCAGATGACAATTCTGCTCCAGTGAACCTGGAACAGGTTCAGACCCAAACAGGAAGGAGTAAGAAGCGAGTACTCAAGCAGCTGCAGGCTCAGCTTCCCAGAAAATGAATGGCAGGCATATGATTTTTGGATTACATGTCAACAATTTCTCCATAGTAGTCTAGAAATGCTCCATAGCACCAAATATGTTTCTGAAGTAGAAGCACAAGCACATTTGCAAGCATGTGGCATCTCCAGCCCACTGAAACTCTGACAGCAGTAGGGCACTGCAGAATATCTTATTTATGTGAATTGACTCCTTCCTTAGGCATTCTACTTCAGGATGAGAAGGCAGGGTTGGTGACACCCGCAAAATGCCAGTGCAGCAAATGATCCTGAAGGAATGTCCACCTGGGGGTGCTGTTCTGAAGAACTCTACTGCATCACCTCCAGCCATGGAGGTTTCTCCTTAAGGAAAGGAGAACCTACAGATACTTCTCCTTGGCTGAAGTGCTGAAAGGAGGCCAAAGAATAGCATTTGCAGAAAAATGTAACAGCAAAACTTCAACTTTGACAAATCAGCACACTGCAGAAATAAGAGAAGAATTCTGACACCTGCCACACCTTATCCCTGCTTACACACAGTTACTACCATACTACTCCAGAAAACTGCTATTGACAGACCCAAGCATATTTGTTTCCAGGGGCAGCCTCCAGTAATCCATTACAAATAAAAGTAATATTAACATTTCTGAAGATAATATCTAAATAAATAAATAAATAAATAAATAAAATTCCCTTTGTTACCACCTCTACCCTCATTGCTAAGTCATCCCTCAAATTTTATAGTCCTCATTTTCTGAAGAAGGTCAAATTTGACCTTCTAAAGAATCCTAAAGATTGTCATTTAAGAAAAGCAAAAGGATAATAACAATCATTAAGAGGAAAAGAAATCCCAGTCATGATTTGTAGAACCATGTGCTAGCTTTAAGGGAAACAGGTCTATCTTGGGATAACAAATATGCACTGAGAACAGGAAAGAAACTGTTAATTTCGCTTTTTAAATTTTTTAAGGCAAGGCAGGATGATAAACTATCATTGCATCTCCCCACAGAGCATTATCCACACTAAAGTAATAAATAAATTAGGTCCCTATTGCTATTTTGTAGTGTACTTCAAACACAAGTTTTATTTCACGTTACTGTGGCTCTGCTAAGGGATGAAAACTGCCAGTTTTCATTTCATACTGGTGCCTGCAGCGTACCGTTATACCTGCTGTAGGCATATAACTCTCAGAGGGATGCCAAAGTGTTACAGTAAGTAGATTATTTTCTTCTAGTGCTATAGAAATACCATTTTCAGGTACAGCAATATCTTCAAGAAACAAGGCTTCAGAGAAGCAAGCCCAACAAAACATAACTCCCTTCGGCATCTATATATTGGATAGTGCTAAAGGATTCCTGTTTCAATAACACATGCTTTCTAGCTGCTATACTGCAAGGAATTTTGAATTGTATACTTTTATAAGAACTAACAGATCAATTGATTTCAATGTAATCATTTGCAGAAAGACAGACTCCTTCAGAATCCCAGTCTCAGAAACTTTTAACACAGCTGCTATTGAGAAACAAATCAAATAAGTCAGACAGCCTATGCTTCTACATTTCTTTTTTTTTCATCCAGGCTAACCCCCTGCTAGGGCACTCAATAACAGAAAACAGCACAAGGTTTCAGTGTCCCCCTGTTTCTTGTCACTGTGATTTACTCAAGTGTATTTGAAGTCCAATCACGTACTCTATACTACATATAGAAAATGACCTTGAAAAATGTCAGCTTGATCACTTTGACTAAAATCCAATCTCTTAGGGGTTATGTTAGAAGACTTAGAAGAAGTACTCTTGGAAATTATCATAACAAAGATAAAGAAAACATCAATTCTATTTGTTTTGGAGGAGCAACATTTAAAAAATGGTTATTTACAATTTTATTTCCCTCCACTTTGACAATTATACCCACAGAGAATTTGATATTATACATAGTACTTAATGGCTTTTTGGTAACTTATTTACACACATTTTATATAGTCAAGTAATAACAAGTTTAACCCCATTGTAAGTAAGATTTGCAAACATTCTATTGGGGATTTGACATACTAAATATGCTAAAAGTTAACTGCAATCCACTGCATTTAAACTGATAATTTTACATTTATTTCTACACTGAGGGTACCATTCCTAAATGGCAATCATATTTTTTAATTCTTAATTGAAGTAGGAAAGAATAGTTGTCAAATTCTTTTGTAAGTGAACATTCCACAATCTGCAGAAGCAACTGTACTGGCTTCACCACTTAAAACAGTCTGGAGAAGCCTAATTAACACTCTGGGCATCACTCATCTGTAGACCATGAAACAACATAAAACATTTTCTCATCATTTTTCCTTCTCAGGAGTAAGCAGCATGACAATCCTGCATTACAATGAACAAAACATTTAGCTCATATTTCATTACTTCTTTACTGGGATCCCTTCTTTTTAGTGGAAGGGAAAGCAAAAGAGGAAAAAAAAGAAGTCAGAGGTGGCATTTAGTGTGCTAAACTACAACCCATTCAATCCACCAAATCAGAAGGTTGAGGGAGCTACAACCTTCAGAAATGTAAGAGAGATGAATATCCATGGACAGGTAGGAAACTATTTTCACACTATTCTCAGCAAACCAACTAACCAACTTCCCCACCCTCCAACTGAGGATCACCTCATAGCTCAGAAGGGACTGGGCTTCTCTCTAGTGTGTTTATTTCCTTCTTCAATGCTACTATCTTCTCAGGTCAGTGGTCTACTCCCTGTCTGCATTTTCTGCTGCTGTGCTCCTGCTCTTCCAGTACCTTCCTCTGTAAACCACATAACCCCTTCTTTTCCAAGAGTCTTTTTGCTCCCCTGACAGATACAAGTTACAGGACTTAAGAAGTTAAATCCTGACTTTCTCAACTGAAAATCTCATTTCAGAGCTATAAATACTGACAGTATATAATAAAACTATAAATACAGGCAATATACATTGTGACACCTACACATATGTTAATAATAGCTCACAAGGGACAATGGAAAAAATACCAAGAACTACATGGGGAGTGGGGCATGATGCTGGAAAGCAAAGAGGGAGGGAAGAAACTGGAAAGGTATGAGCTGTCTCGGGCCCTCGTCATGTCCACAGAAATAATTCAGATACAACAGCTCCCTAATAGCACTGTGGCATCTACCTCATACTTATTCTTCAGAACCACGAATTTTTCTAATTTTTTTTTAGGTTTTTTTTTAATACCAGAATACCAAATTTACCCAGATAGTGGACTAATGAACCTTAGGAAGGCTAGACATAGTTATTTAAATTTAGGAAATGGGTCAAAGAAAGCCAGCTTCACAAAACCACAGAGTACTTTGGGTTGGAAAGGACTTTAGGACTTTTTAAAGATCATCTAATTCCAACCTCCCTGCCATAGGCACATACATGTCCCATTAGACCAGGTTACTCAAAGCCCCATCCAATCTGGCCTTGAACACTTCCAGGGATGGGGCATTCAGAACTTCTCTGGGCAAGCTCTGGGGATCTACCAATCTCACAGCAGGAGTTTCTTCCTTACTTCCTTAACCTAAACCTACCCTCTTTCAAAGTAATTCCCCCTTGTCCTATCACTTCTTGTAAAATGTCCCTATACTTGTGAAATGTTCCTCTCCAGATTATTTGTAGGCTCCCTTGAGGTACTGAAAGGCTGCATAAAATCCCCCTGGAGCCATCTCTTCTCCAGGCTGAACAATCTCAATTCTCAGTCTGTCTTCATAGCAAAGGTGCCCCAGCACTCTGATAATTTTTGCAACCCTCCTCTGGACTAGCTCCAACCGGTTCACACCCTTTTTATGTTGAGAGTCCCAGAGCTGGATGCAGCACTACCGGTGGGGTGTCACAGAGCAGGGTTGGAGAATCACCTCCCAGTTTTCAGCAGAACACTAAAGCACATTTCTCTCAAGTATATAAGCAAGTACTGAGTCTTTACTTGCGTGCTTTCCACAGCAGGCCAACAAAGAAGGAATTTCAGTTAAATAATAAATACGGCCAGCACTTCACATGGTGATCTTCCCAACACTTCTACAAATAACAGAAGCAGAGATAACCCTAAAGAAGAAAGGATGGCAAGGATGGAAGAAGAAAGTTTGCCAAATCATCTAACAGTAAGGTATCTACATGAACATTTTACCACATGTAAGAACAATAGTGAAACTCCTACCACACTCTCTGAACAATGCAGGTTTTTTCTAAGATAGCAATACTTCTTCTGAGTCAATACAATAATCACTCAGGAATATATCTGACTTCTTGGTGAGCATTGTTCAATTCTGATAATGGTATTTAAGTCTAACATGGTAATAATACGGTGAATGATTAATGGTTGGAAAAAAACTATCAAGAGTTGTATGCTGCAATAAATGGAGCAAAAGATATAAAAAAATTAAGCAGAGAGAGTAAAATATTTACTTTACACATACCTTCAAAAATATTGCTTTCAACTCAGCTGGATCAGCTCTTTTGGTTAGAGCCACCTACAAGTAAATACAATTACATTAATATGCATAGCTTACACAAAAGGTGCCAAAGTGTCATTTAAAAACAAGAACACAAACAACAGAATGAGTGATGAAAATATATGTTCACCTTAGATAAATTAGGCACTGCTTTAGTTGGCCATGCTCATTTTATCCATTTCACACTTACATAAGGTTATTCAATATTTCTGTTCCACTTCTGTTATGCAACCCTGCAACTCTTAAACAAGCACACATTAACAAGTCATAAAGATATTCAAGAACGAAATCTCTATAGCATACTTCTCTGCTGGGATTCAGCATTATACTATCTTCACCCCAGATTTTTACACTTCCAGTGCCTTTCATCTAAAGATTTCAGTGTACCATACACAGTCCATAAGTGATAAATGGCAAGAATTAAACACTCAGACTCACAAAGTTGTTCAAGAAAGCAGCTCCATAAAAAACTGAATTTCAATGTAACTATTCGTTTATTACATCACTATAATCTTACAGTGCAGATCTTTTTAATGAGATTAATTCAGAAAGCAGTATCTAGAGTATCTAGATTTTTCTGCAGATCACATTAGCAAGTTCAAACTAAAATCTAAGTTACATTTATCACTACAAGCCCAAAGTAGATTTTTTTTTCAAAACACTAAATCAAAAAATAGTCAACCCACTATGGAGTAAGTCCATCAATATTATCCTGGTTGATATACCATACAATCCTTTTGTTGCTTTTGGCAGTAAGTGGATGTGTCCCCTCAGTCTGTGCCTACTATAGTTTCCCTTTCCTTCTTCAGGATACCTTGACAAAATCTTGCTTGCTAACACAATAACCTTCATCTGACAAGTCAATTCAAACATCAATCTATTCCAAATCTAAAAAACAAATACTTTGCAAGCAAACATGGATTTTAAAAAAAAGTTTAACAGGGAATATAAACAGCCAAAGGACAAGACACACAATCTTACCCTCACTTAAGAATTAAACATCAGGAATGTTATCAATAAAACACTACTTTACTTTCCTAACTCTATAGCAATGGTAGACTGTAAAGGCAAACATGACCCCAAGTGCATTTCTAGAAGCATACTGGCCTACTGCAGAAAATAGAAGGAGTCTGTGTAAGTCTGAACAACAGCATTATATCCTCACATGTACACTTAATGATGAACCTTCAGTATAGTTCATTTAAAAACTAAAAAAGACAACAGAAAACCTCATAAAAACATGTAAAAAACCCCAAAAAAACTAAGCCAAAACCCAAAGTATTTTAAGAAAAGTGTATGATTAAGGTTTCTTACTAAAATTCTTTAAGTTTTTTAAAAGGGAAAAACCACACCTATGCTCAACTGACAAAGTCCACTGCTGGAGTCCCAGTCCTGTTGTTACACAGAAATTGGTGCGAAAGCATCGCAAAAAATCAAAGTGTAATTGTGAAGCTAAGAATACAAAAATGTGTGTTTTCTAAAGTGCAAGCTGTCCTAAATATAATCACTGTGAGCAGAGATTTAATTTAACCCTTGTTTTGTAAAAATCTGATAGTCTAGAGCTATTGGGAACTCTGTGGAAAGAAAAAAACAAGCAGTATTTCTATGCTGCTTCAATCCAGAACCTTGCCACTATACAAGCAAAGGAAAGACACTTCAAACACCTTTAGCCAGCAAATATAAATCAGTATCATATTTCATCTGTCTTTAAGTTCAAATTTTATACTGTCAGAGAAAGCTAAGTCTAAAGAAACCAAGGGAGGAAGAAAAGGAAAAGATATATGAACTTACACTACTTTCCTTTAGTTTCACTGGTATTAACAATTCTGAGAAACTTGGTGATATGCTCACAGGCCAGCTGCCATTTTTCAGCCCCCTTTTGATTACAGAGGAATTTGAGTGGTGTTTTCTACTGTCAATATTGAAAGATAGGTTGAAGTTGATAAGGTCAATGAATGCACAGAAGAACTGCAGACTAGGAGCCCAAGCAGCGGCTGCATACCACAGCTTTTCTCCATTTGCTACAGTCTACTTCCTCATTCTTCCATTCCCCAGCAAACAGGAGAGGAAAGGTATGGTTAACACCGCATTATTTGGTGCATCCATGTCACATCTACAAATGTGCTTTCTGAAAAGTGTGTCTGATTCCAATTGAGGAAAAGAGCCTCTATTACATTACATGAGAACTTCAGGAAGACTGATGCTAATGCAGCCATACCAGTGGCCAAAATAAGCATTTAATTCAGCTTTTCATCCATACCCAGCCATAGGCAAGGCTGCACCCACTGCCATAAAAACTGATCCTGATGACAGGTGTTACTAGAAGATTCCCACTCTAGAAAAGGTCAAAATATTACTTTCCATACCATTCTGTAAATTGTTATGTCAACAGTTGAAAGGCTAAGTAACCTGATGCCAACAAGACTGCAAGCTGACAGGTAACATGCTTGATGAAAAGTGACCCACAGACGAAAGCTGTTTCTCCATCAGTCAGCTCACATGATATTTACTGACTCTCACATAACTGGGTTCAGGTGATGTGTTTTGTTACTGGAAAGACTTCTCCATTTTACTACCATCTTTTCTCCATAAAGATAAAAGCAGTTATGAGCTGGCAGGCCTAACACCTCTCTAGTGGCATGAGAAGGCATTTGATAAAGGAGATCTGAGTGAAATAATGTTGCTATTGCTCTTTACAAAGAAATACTATGTAACAGATACACTTAAAACAGCAACTTCTCTTAAGTAAGGTTCAGGGAAGAAAGCCCTCCAACAAACATTTATTATCAAAAAAAACCCCAGGAGACAACAGAGTACATCAACTGAAGTGCAGGACTATAATCAAATTAGAACCCTCTACAGGGAAGATTGGGATAATGTATAGAAAATATCAGCAGGGATTTTCATTCCTAAGGTAGACACCTGAAAGTCTTTAGCAACATACTACGTGTACATGTGTGTTATATATGAAGAATGAAACAGAACAGGCAATATAAGAACTGCACTTAAAAATGCTGACTCCTTCCCATTAGCATTAACACTCAACAAAGGGTGCACAGAGACAGGGAAAGCTCTGTGAGAGACAGTAACACAGACTGATTTGCACACTGGAGCTCATCATATCTTTAGACTCCCTTGCACCTTGACCTTAACTTCCGCCCATTTTCTTCAGCAGACCTCTTTTCTCCTTATTGACTTATGCTCAATTTACATATGCATTTTCAGTCTCACTTCCATACTCAAAATTAAATGCAGAGTCTTTCCATATAAATATAACTGTACAACATAAGAAAACAGAATTCACTGAGAGTAAAAGAAGATTATATTACATTTCCAACCAATTCTACTAATATATTTGTCATACACAAGGTAGAAGAAACAGGTTGTGAAAGATTGCATGGTATCAAAAGACACAAAAAGACTAATAACATAGTGCGCTCCATCCAGTAAAGAACAACAACATGGATGGGCAAGAAAGAAAAAGGGCAGCAGGAAAATCATAATTAATGTCAGTATAACATTAATCTAATGACAAAAATATAGTTAGTATCTGATTGTCCCACCTTTACAGCAAGATCATTTTGGTAGCCACAGTCTGAATAGAGTAGAAAGGTGATTATGATCCAGGAATACTTGGGAATTGCTAAAATATTCCAGAAAGTTTATTGCAACAACAGCAAGTCCTAATCCAAGATAAAGATATAATGTTCTTTCTTTCTTTTGTTTTAGTCTGAATACAATGCAGATGTGAAGGAAAAATAGAGGTAAGTCTGCCCCCCCACAACTCAATATCTTTAAAACCTCCTGACACCAAGCAGGTAAGATGCTGGACAGCTGTCCTTCTCCAAGCAGAGAGCCAGAGCTGAACAATGGTGAGCTCAGTCTGTTCGGTTCTAGAGAACACTGTCTACAGACACATACAGAGAAAAGATATTTGATGAAAGGCTCAACAAGTGATCACAAACTCTTGTAACTTGTGTTGAAATTAAGATTATTTTTCAGAAGTTCATCCATTCTTAAACACAACTTAAGAATGCAATGTATTTCATACCACTACAAGACCTCAAATTAAAATTGAAACCTTATGTCTTGTAGGGGTATTCTTTTATTTCATCACAAGTTATTGAGTCCACCTGCAAGACTCAAACACATGTGGCCCAGTTTATGTAAGAGGTCAGATTAGATCATTGTAATGTTTCCTTCTGGCTAAAAGTATACATATACACTTCAAATGTGCAACTCCAAAGGAGATCAAACTGGGGTTTGACCTTACATTCTTGTTTAAATGAGTGACTGGAATATCGGAAACCAGTTGGAGCACAGTTACTGGCCAAGTCTGAATTCAGACCACAAACCCATAATACTGTTTAAGTATTATGCCAAGACAACACTCTAGCTTTTATTTTAATACAACTAACCTGTTCATGTAGATGAAAATCATCTTTCTTCCATATTTAGACTAATATTACCATAAACATATATAATAATTCTCCTAACCTAGCAACTCTCCTTGGTCGCTTTCCGTCATCATACCCATATCCTAAGTTACAAGTGTTCTGTATCAGCATCTGTGCAGGGCACTGTTTCCTGTTTCAGCTGCCTCAATATGCATTTTCTGTTAGTCCAACATGCATATTGTCACCTCAGCAAAAGAACTGCCATTCCTTCTACAGTAAAAGAACTTGACTGTGATCTACAGTGGAAAGTGAACTACACAGAGCTTGACATTACATGGAAGATTTTAAGCAAGATGTGGACCAGCTCACCAAGCAGAGAATCAGACAACTGCAAGGAGAGCTGGCACTGAACACAGATCAAAACCCTTCTCAACAGACCTCCTTAACAGTAAACTGAGTATGTCTCCTAGGAAAATCAAGTTAGATAGCATTTGGCATATCTGCCCAAAGGCTTAGGATAAGAAGAACTGAAGAGATGTTGCCAACTACCAATCAGGTAGGTACATCCAGCCTGATCAGTCTGAGCACAATCAGCCTTGAGACAAAAACCTTTCTTTTCTAAAAGCAGTTCTGATCCTCACAGTTAAACATTTCAACTACACTTTGCAAAAGTCTAACCCTACACTAAGCAGCAGTTACTGCATTCCTTTGTCTAATAACACCTAGCAAAGGTAAGATAAATGAATGCTATTGACAATAATCGACAATCTTCAGTGGGATCTTTTCATATCCTACAGACTGGTTGAGCATGGAGAGATGCAGAATGAGCACTGTTAAAACTAGACAGTAGTGCTGAGTCTACCGCACACACTGGTGAAGCAAAACTAATTTGTCAGCTAACAAAGACAACATATCTCAAGCAAAACTATTCACATCCATCTTCACTTCATCATAATTATAAATCTCTGGGCAATTCCCAGTCTTCTGCACCATGGGAGGTGGAAGCCTCACTTCCCCCACGTGCATCAAAGCTAACAAACCTACTTTACCATGCAATTACCTTCTAGCTTTGATCCTACTTTCAAAGTCCCAGAGCAAATGAGGATGGCTTGTTCATAAGATGGTTCTCACACAAGGAGACTCCCAATGAACCACAGTATTTTTGCACACAAACTCATCAGGGACCAATACACAGTTACCAATTATATACACACAGGAAAACCCTTGTCCGTTGTCCAATACTTCCAAGTAGGTACAGAAATCTGGGTGATAGTAGTACATATCTTAAGAAAAACTGCTACAAGAATTTCCAAGATTAGATAATCGATGCTATGTAAAAATACCTTTAGAGTGTGTACTTGAACAATTTTTGTACTTAAAGACCTCAAAAACAGAAGGACAGTAAAACTACCCCAATACAAAGGTAAAAATAGCTAGGCATCGCCATTGCTTAGCTAAATCATTTAACTAAGGGAAAAAGCACCAACCAACACAAACCAACTCCAAACTTCAAGCACTTATCAGAAAATGGAGTTAGGAACAAACTGGACTATTTGTAGTCAGCCTCCAGACTAGGACAAGAATACAACAGCTACCATTCCTGGAACAGGGTTGATACACTTCCCAACAGTAAGAAACTGAACCTGAAAACCTAAACTTTGTTAA